ATGCTGTTTCATGTTCAACAAAGGGAACATCATGATGATTTTTGCGGTGTACGCTGATTTGATGACACTAAACCTATTTCATGCATGCGCTAGTCCTAATATGGTAATACACTAAGCCTAAAGTAGGGGGGGTTTTGACGTAAATTACTGCCAAAAACCCCCTTTATCAATTTGACCGTCAAGTACTGTTTTTGACGGTCAAAAAAGGAACCCTAGTAGCATCATCCAAGCAGTATACTTACTAATATGAGCCAGAGACAGTAGCGCATTTTTTATTTCGATGCATCAGATGGTAAGAATGTTAAACGAAGATGCACCGATGCACCGACACTAATAGAGGAAATCTTTCATTCTTCTTAGCAGAAAAGTCATTGTCAGATAGATCAGACTAGAAACCGAATTTAAAAGCAGTGTAAACAGCGATCCACTTTGCACTATCCACTTTGCACTGGCCACTAGACGACTGGAGAATAAGCAACATACATAGACTGTAACAGCCACCCATCCACCCATTAATACTAACTCACCACCCAACTACTATCACCACCTCGTGCTACAAATAGCAGACGCTGCTTCAGCTGCCGTAGATAGGATCCTGAACACTTGGCGCATAAGCTCCAATCTAGTTCGCTGTGAATGATAAAACACGAGAAACCGTAGCGACGCAAGCGAACACATGTAGAGAGTGTGACGGTACAAGGGCACGAGCAAGGTCGAGTGCGACTTGGATAAAGCAGTTGTTCACAAGGAGAGTAAGAGCTTCCGAAGGAAGTTCTGACACGAGCTATCTAAGTCCTAAAGTGGGGCCGTTCCCTTACAGAGAGCAGAAACTGGACGACAAGGACTCATGGGCTTCAATGAGATTTGTCGTGCTAAAAAGAGCCAAAGTGTAGGCCTACTAAATTCTTTTCAGCAGCTCTAATAGTAGCCTATATTCTATGCGACAAGATAAAGGCTAAATTCCAGAATGTACACGTGCCATAGAGGTTTATAGTTGCCCTTTTGCGATTTCTCCACCGGGTGTAATGAATGAATAATAATAGTAATACAGTAACTACAGTACCTCATTAAGTAATTCTAAAATTATCTTACACATTCTTCTGACACGGTTCGGGGCGATAATCGTTTATAGCTTCCAGGTCGCTTAATGTTTCTTCTAGCTCCCAGGTTGGACAGATATAGCCCTCCCATTGGATAGCATAGTACACATCACCATTATCTGCTTCGTAGTGACCAATGACACGTTTTATGTTGGATTCGAGCAGCTCCGGGGCCTGAGGCCACTGTCGTATGTCGTACCATATACCCAGTTTAGAACCGTTGCCGAGCACCCAAAGTGGCCGAACCGAACCCAACGGCCAGCCACAAATGTCTTGAGCTTGTACTAAAACACCATGGAAGACACCCACAGGCGCCTGAAGCGAATAGAGAACATCTACTATAAAAGCTGTGGAAGACCAGGGGCATTGGATCACATCCCCTCGATGAGGACATGCTTCAACAGAATCTGCCATGGGGAAGTAAAAGAATTTGACGATCCAGCCGTCGAATGGTACAGTAAAGGAGCATAATGCATCTGTG